ATGAACTAGAGGCTAAATAAATTATAAAATAAGTAATCATTATTATATTATATTATACAATATTTTGAATTATTTAATAAATTATTAAAAGGCGACCATGAATATATAGGCACAATTTCGGTGTGATGTTTAATGAAAAATGAAAATGACTTTGCAGACATGAAGCTGAAGAGAAAACGATAACTGTCCCTTGACGACATTGGTAATCGGAATAAAAATCCCCGGAAAAAAAAATCCACAGACTACAATATTAATCACAAAAACATGCAAATTATTGAACAAATATTTTTTTAAACTCTAATTACCTAGTGTAATTACCAACATTATTAATATTTAATAACAAATATACTCTTATAGGGTAGTAATATATACTTCAAATTTAGAAAATGTTCAATTTTTATAACTAAGGATTGAAATTTAAAAATATTACATAGGTACTTAAGTTTCTTATAATATTTTGACTTTAATGTAAATAAAATATTATTAGGAAGCGTTTTTACAAGTTTCACTTTATATAGATGAAATATTTAAAATATTATAAAATAAGAATAAAATAAAAATAAAAATAAATATCAAACAATAGTTCTCTCACTGTAATTATTAGATTGTCTCCTAATAAAGTGTCTTACCGAATAAAAAAAAATTGGAATATTTATTTTGTCACTCACAAACCTGACACAAAGTTCAATAATTTGCATGTGAGAGTAATATTGTAGTCCGGGGATTTGCCGACATCAGATGCAGGGAGCATATAATATATGTGTATTATTCATGTGCAAAATATAGTATTCAATATTCGTGATAAAATATAACTGAGTCCGCTTGGAAAAGACCCGTGGACGTTCAAACATACGTTAGTGGGGTAGCTAGGATTTTAATTTTTTTTTTTTTTGGTGTGGGGGGGTCTAATTATGTGGATACACAGAGTTGGTTTAACTAGGGTATCTCATAGATCTAAGTCCAAGAATTGGTGAGTTAATGATGATTTGTAATTGACTTAAATTGATAGATAATATTCTAACAACTTTTAAGTTAATAGTTATCCTAATTTTTTTAAACTCACTTTAGTTAAAAGTTATGTGGACAATTACAACTAACTTACTAACTTAAGATAAGTTATTTATTTATTTTTAATATATTTATAGCCAGTTATATGATTTAAAATTATAAAAAGTAAATGTTTATGCAATACCTATGTTTCATAAAAATAATAAATTATTGTAATATATTGCTTATTATTTAATTATCTATAAATTAACGAAATAGTATTTGATTATAATTAACTAGTTATTTATTAAGTTTATATCAATAAAAATAGGTAAAGTTAAAATTTAAATTTTTAGAAGTTAAGTTAAAATTTAACTTAAACTTCTTAATTTATATATACCCAGGCTTGAGTTTGAATGCCGAAGTTTTAATTTAGGGTTCAGTTCCTGTATGTATACAAATGTGTACTTGCAGTAATTTGAATGAACCTTAAAACATTTTTTTCATTTTTTTTACACATTACAGCCCCTAAGCACTCACCTGGCTACGCCTCTGACCTATAACCCATAAATAGGTACTAAGTAGTAAGTATGTGTTTACACAGTCTCGGCGTCTCTACACGGGGGCCGTGGTTAAAGCCATATCAGCTATAATTACATTTTCGATGCTGTCATGAATAAACAAGAATGAGCAGGAAAAGCCTCGAGGTCTGAAGTATAAATTGATATTAGTCGATTCATCGATTTATCGTTGTTTAAACACTATAGAATGGTCCCATACCAAAAACGCGACCCTTATTAACGTGATTGTTTTACCGAGGGCTCACTAGGATTTTACAAACCTACCATTTTATAGTATTATATACACTATAAAGTATAAATTATAATTTAAAGATGGAAAAAAACAGTTTCCAAAGCATACGAGATTCCGAATTATGATAGTATTATAATCATATCAAGTGACTGATGAGCCATAATGTGACTTACCTCGCACGCCAACATGGACGCGCAATGATCCTCCTTGGAATCAGAGGGCAAGAGCGTCGTTTCGTCTGGTAGACTATAATTTAGGTGATGATGCTCACGAATACACGCGTTGTCAATTAATTATTTATTGATTCGATTAGTCGTTTCGCCGGAATGTACGGCTGCAAATCACTTTAAAATCTATTAATATAAACAATACGCGCTTATGCTGATTGCGGACGGTGACGACGTTTCCCAAGACTAGCTAAAGGAAAATATTATCACTTTGTCTAGCTCGTCGCTTGTATACCGTGATCCGTGAACATAACATGCTATAAATCCGGGTCTTGTAGGCGACTTCACATTGCTCCGTAAACCGTGAAGCGAGGAAAACAATTATCCGTAATTTCTCAAAATTTTAGATTTTTGCGATGAAGTGGCGAACATAATGGTATGTGGTAACTGACTTCTTGTTATCACAATGAAACAATCACCTGTCCTATCAGTTCAAATTCGTATTTGATAATTATTTTCATAACCAGTAACCACTTATTAATTGTAAACATTTGACTCGGGTAGGATTGAATTATACTTTCTGGTATCTGCAATATAACATTTGATCATGGTTTATACTTATAACCATTATGGTTAACCGCTTAAGTAACCGCAAGATTCGGCCAATCACAGCTCTGAATTTTTTTCCGGGAATCACCGAGGCTCACGGTTTACGGAACACTGTGAAGTGACGTTACTCTTTTGGTATCTTATAATAACCAAGTTGCAACCGAGTATACCTAAAAGCTCAACTTTTATAACAATATGGTTACCGATTATAGCCATAATTGCCAGGCCCTCGCGTAACACGACACAAGACGTAGCTGTGAATCCGGCTTAACTTTTTGCACGATAGTGGAACTGACTTAATACAAACAGCGTTTAGAATTTAAATGTATTTTAGATTTGTAGAAATCATATTGAAATATTAACTACCGAGTTCAAATATCATACAATTTCACTTTTACTCGATTTCTTGAAAATTAAAAAGTTTTTTCGTTTTTATTCCTTTAATAAATATAATATTATGTGCGATAATCAACACAATTAAGATTGTTAGAGCTTAAAATAATAATACTATACGACAATGTCATTAGTTGTTTATCATTACTTTTATTGTTTTTATATAATCATCAATAATTAAAATATTACTAGCTAATTTATTATTAATACGAACAAAACTTGTTGTCCCAATCCCAATGGTAACTTTTAAAATATTACAATTCTTTTTTAAAAACATAATTTAATCCATCCAAAAGAAGGGTTCTTACTTGTTATCGTGGTTAACATTAAAAAAAAATCAATTTTCACATGTTTTTCAGGGTGGTTTTGTTTTAATCTGTGGATATCCATTAGTTGTTTCATGTTTTAAATAACAACTATTCATTAATGTGTGTATACTTAAATCTGAATAAAAGAAAATGAGTCGATTTATAATTATTAACGAGTTTAGATCAGTATAATAATATGTACCTATATATAAACTGAGTGACTGACACTGACTTGTAGATGACTGTTAAAAACTAAAAAGCATTCATGTTGTAGTAGCCGATACCTAGACGGAAAACGAGGTTTTATACTGCGTAATAAATTATTTTATTAATAATTAATTTTGTACGAGCCAAAAGAATAATAGTCGCTCTCTTCAAAATTATTTTCAACAATACATTTGTACACACGTATACTGTGTACATATATATATTATATACTATGTAGGCATGGCTACAGTCTACCACTTGGAATGTACCCTTATAATTTATAAAATGATTCTCGTGTCCGTACGAAGTGTATTATATTATTCTGTGGGTTCGACAATTAATAGGTATAACGTATAGAGGTGCATATAATATAATAATATAATGGGAATATATGACTCTTTGAAATCGTCGACATTCCAATAACGCATTGGGGGGAGCGAACCTTTTTTTTCGTCTCATAATACGTAGGAACAATACCGAATTCCTTGTAGACTGTTCACCCCAATGAGTGTAAACGTGTTTGCATCGGATTTCTTGGAATTGCAGACCCTTCGTACATAATATAGGACTTGTTTACATCAATGAAAGTAAAACCGGATCTCGTATGTGGTAGACGAGTCTACGTCTTGCAGACGACCTTATCGTCTCATTAATGTGTCTTCAAGGTTTTATTGTCCACGACGTCTGTGGTTCTCATATCCCATTGAACAGTTTGGAATCGGTTTAAAAGTTCATAGAACTCTGGGGCGACTACTCCACTGGGTTTTAAAGAAAAAAAAATACGATTTTTATTCTGTATTCAAAATAACAAACTATTAAACATATATATAATTATACGTATTGAACATATTATTTGTATAATAATATTATGTTTGTATAAATGATTTAATAAATTGTCGATAGAATAAAAAATGTATAGTATCCGTTCCAAGATTTTTGTTATAAGTACTGATACTAAAAATTACTATTCCAACATTTAATTTTTTTTACCAAGGTAATAAATTTCAGAATGAACATACATTGGCAAAACATCAACTCCTCGTTATTTCAATAATAACAGAAAATTAGCACTACAAACATTAAATTATTATCATGATTAGGCTTATTCTCAAATTTCGAGGTGAACTACATGACACTAAATGAATAATATGTGATGTTTATAAATTTTGTCTATCGAGCAATTCACGAGCAATTCACAACAATTTAGGGGATTTATTTTTAGACAATTTTTTTGTAGCAATATTGTAAGCAATTTTGTTATTTGTATGTATAATATGTAACTATACGTAATAATTTTTTTTATTCAATTCGACAAAAATCCATTGTATTGCGAATCGATCATTCGGTCAAGCGCGCTTAACGCCGCCACAATCACAATGTACATTAGGTATTCATTCAAATGATAATGTACCTACAGAATGAGTATTATCTAATGTGGAATTTATGAATCTGATTTGGTAGAATAAACGTGTAAGACAATTTTTACTGAATATATTTACTATTTTTTTTCCTACAGCGATCGACGAATATTTAAAAGTGAAATCTGCAGTGTGCTTTATACATATTATACTTTGTACGTTATTTTCATTATGGTCTTTTTATGCGGTCTGTACCGACAAATGATTTTGAAACAAATACCTATACAATAATTACCGATGTCGATATGGAATTACAATAATCCGCCGGCTGCTCGTGGATTTTCTGCTTTTTTCACGCGTTCAAAATGGGTTTTTTCTTTCGCAAAACCATTGTATTTTGACAATGCACTATTATATTATATTATTATAGACGTTGGTACCAGACACAATACCGTCATAAATTCAGATGATCAGATTAACATCAACACATCATCATATTTTCCACAGTACGTAGAATCGTCGTCAACAAGAAGGTTTATATTGTGGTTTAGTGCCTGTACGCGTTATAATATATCGACTACAATCAAAAAACACCATTTACCAACAGGTAAGTTTTTAATGAATATCGTTTGTCTTGTTCTATGGATTTAAATTGTGTGATTCCAAATACACTAAAATAATCTCTTTTGAGTAAGCACCCTATACCGTCCTTCCTATCATAAAATATCGGCAGAGAAAAAAGATTTAAGACGACGTATTACCTGTGTATTTTATGAAAAATGTACCTTTGGGAAAATTAGGTTCACTTTGAAATTAGTTATTTTTTGTCTATATTATCACGGTCTGAAGCAGACAAAAACTCTTTAATATAACCTTTGAGTGATATTTTTGGTAGTCAACAGTTCAATCTAGTTAGTTTGAGCGGGAAATGGTGTTTTAGGTCTCGACAATTTCTTTACATCAACGACGCCCTTGTGGTTTAGTGATTTTCATACGAATTTAGACACGATTTGTTTATTTTCACGGTGACGGATAAATGAATGATTTTCAATATTGTTGAAAAATATTGCACTCTGAAATCTTATATTATAACAATAATAATATTAACGCACACACGTGTTTTTTGGGGGGCAAAATCATCCCGGCGGTCGCTTTCGGTACATTTAATAATGTGTTTTTCTTATACTTATATTTTCTTCTTTCCTCAGGTCAGATATGTAATTCAAATTTAATACATCCATTACAGTGATCTACTCGAAATATTCTATACATAGAATATTCTTGAGCCCTGTGAATTCATATTTTTTCTATTGATCGTGTATTTAATGAAATTCTGATTTATTGAGAGTGGATAGTAATAATAATATTATTATTTTTTAGAATATAAAATATAAAATTTAAAGCGAGCAAAAAAAACCAAAGCTGGAAAAAATATTAACTTATTACTATTATATTAATACTGCTTTTAATTTAAAAAATTTACTATTTTATGTATTTTCGCAAGGCAAACTGCTAGGTACATGGAATACGTTTTTGGCTTAGCCACATTGCAATTTTGAATAATTTTTTTTTTGACAATCATTTAGCATTAAATTACCATGTATTTCAGTATTTGCATGCTAACTCTTATAATTTACATGCTTTTATTTTAGCGTGAAATCAAAAATGAGTTTGGACAGCTGTAGATATAACGTACTTATATTAAACTATATTATTATAATAATTATATTATTATACTATTGTACTATATTTAAATACTTATTTCCAAATATTTCTTGAGCAAATATTAAGCATTATATTTACACAATCAATCCCAAAACATCTGAAACTCTACCAGTTCGTTCCCAAAATCTTTTTTTTTTTAATTCTAACATGTCCCTAGCCTCTCTTCCCCACAAAAATAGAATAGAACTAACTAAAATATCCACCAAGTTATATGAGCGATAAATCGATGATTAACCTACAAGAAATACCAATAATTAACAATTACTATAATAGCCTTATAAAATTATAGTTTTATAATCTACATACCTACAACTAATTCACACAATGACTGATATCCACCCAGGTATGGGTCTACAGCAAAGATCGAGGGAGATCTATTTAATAATACACCACATGAATAATTATCTTGTACAGGTAGGTGGAAAAAAAATCCAAGGAAAAAGGCCAGAAAAAAATTAAATATAAATGTAATCACCTGTTCCTATACTCTACTCCTAATTAGTAATTAATAATTCATAAATTATTACAGCCAATATAGGACATTTTATATGCGAATTCTCAATTAATAAAAAATTTTTTTTTACCTATTTATTCGATGAAAAATGTCAAATATAAATAATTTTATGTTTAAAGATGGTTTATGCTAAACTATTAATTATATAAAAAAAAACAACTTGTGTTACTAAAAAAAATATTAATATAAATATGAACTCGTCTATACATAATATACAGTGTATTATATTTTGTTATAGGTACACGCCACACTGTAGTTATTAATGAGTAGGGTAGAAGACTTGTAGCTTTAAAAAACTAACAAATATGCACTAAAATATACAAAATATGCATTTTAAAATTATCATGCATATTATAATGCATTATAAATATGCATTAAAAAATAAGATTATTTGTATGAATATATTTTATTTAAATTTTGATGTTTGCGACCGACGTTCCCGTGGACCGTATTGAAAATATCTTACGCATGTGAAGAATATCCGTACGTAATAAAATTAATAACCAGAAAATAAATCTAATCGACAATCCTCGAGACGTGTCTCTAGAAAAAAACATGCATGTGGGAACAGTCAACCACCATATTAATATGAGCAAAATTTAAAATAATTTTAAATTCAACATTATATTGGTTGAATATTAAATATTTAAATTAAATGGCAAAAATATTGATAAAATGACAAATCATTGAAAATATGCATCTTAAAGTATAGAATCGAAGAAATATGCACTAAAACCAAAAAAAAACTCGAAATATGCATTTATATGCAGAGTACAATTTCAAAACTAGCTTTGTTTCAAACGTATTTGTTTCCTACTCTGCTATTTTTGTGATCGTGCAAAACAAATATGCAAATGCTACAAGTCCTCTGCCCTACTAATGAGTAATGACTAATTATTAGGAGTTGAGTATACATGTGTTCATATTTATATTTAATTTTTTTTCTGGGCTTTTTTCCGAGGCCTTTTTTCAGCTATTCTTTGTACAGTGCCTCATGTCTGGGATCTAAATGCCACAAATGCATAAGTATAGATTTTATTACCTATTTTTACTTTTTTTTTTTATTAAATGATTAAATGATTATTTATTAAGTTAAATGGTATATTCTTCTTAAAAGAAAATGGAATTGTGTGCGGTGTAAGCTCTGCTTATACCCTTATTAAAATACATGTGTATCTTATTATTTTTTAGCGATACAATATTACAATATTAACAAAACAATATTTTAGTCTTATATATTATAATAATTAAACTGGTATGTTCGCATGTGGTACGAATATTTTATATTAACAACTTCCTTTGTTATTTTCTTATGTCGTGTTTTGGAATAGCACACGGAATGCTGACATTTGAATATTCCGGACCCCGGTGTTTAGTGTTAACATTTCTTTTCTTTTTCCATACCTATGATATTATGTCGTTTCGCAATCGCGTAGATATACCGTTCGAAATCCGTTTTTTTTCCGTACCGCACCCGCCGGACGCATTCTATATATAGTTTGTATCTATACATTATTTTTTCGTTCACCCGCATTTGGGACGCAATCGGTAAATAATATAATAAATATGCTCCACTTTACAACCAGTTTTGAACGGGACGCGATCAAAACACGGGGAAGGTAAAGAACTATGTATAAATATATTATAAAAGGTCGAAATGTGTCGTGAACGGAATACGCTCGCGGTGTGTGCATTAAAATAAAAGAAAAAAAAAATAACCCGGCGTGACATATACCTACCGCAACAGAAGTCGGGTGGGCAGCAGTATTTATACCTACTGCCCCGCTAGCGTTACACTTGAGCCCGTATATATTATTATATTATCATTCAATATTGCATTTGAAAGCCATAATAATAAACATAAAATCATCGCATTCGCCGATAGTCGGTGTATCGCCCGGTATCGGTAAGATATTCCATCGTGGCCTGTAGTGATCGTGTATAATATGGGAAACATCGTCTACTCGCAAACGTGTAGGTTATGAACCGCTTGCTGTCATTTTTTATCGAAAATATACGATAGCGTATTCACATAATAATATATCCGCCTAAAGAAACCATTGAGAATAAATGTAAAAAATTACATTTATATAATCCATGTATAGTGCCCAGGTGTTCGCGAAACTATATCGGAGCCAAATCGAAAATGTATATAGGTAGGTATTGCTGTATAATATCGGTAGTATGATATACCAATGATTGGGTTTGTCAATCGACGTAACTGATTTTTCTTGCGAGACAAATGTAAAAGAATAAACTTTGTTACCATTTCATTCGTGGTTTATAAGTACACACTCGAATACACACTCACGAACAAACGACTGCAGTCGTTAGCATATTATGCTAAACATAAAACTTAGAGCGGCGCTTAATATTTTGCCTCTTGCAAAAAAATCCATGAATCATACATGTATATATTGGGCGGAAGGTTACCACTTGTCCGCTTACCATGGTAACGATATTAAACGTTTTAAGCGTTACGAAAATCGGTAAGAAAAAAAGTTGTAGCCAGCTCAAAAACATAGGTATTCGTGTTAGAATCGATAAAACTATAAAAAGTTGTGTATAGAAATCGTGTAGCTCAAAAGTCAAAGTTATCCTGTAATCTTTTCACACATCGTCCAGATTCGATGTAATTCAACACAAAAACTATATCTATAATGTTTTTAATTGTACAGATTGTAAATATTCTATTTGTTTATTTATTTATTTATTATAATACATAAACACTATTAAGTGTTATATAGTTTAGTTACTTACATTGCATGTCACACTACCCACTACACTAAAATTGTTTTACCAATCTGAAATCATAATTTTGTAGGTGCGTATATTATTGTATTACAATAATTTATCCATCAAATCGTAACAAGGGAACATAAACAATGTTTTGGATCATCGGTGTAATATTATTTGGCGTATTGTATGCTGTTCATCTGTGGCATTCCAACAGAAACTTACCCCCAGGACCTTGGGGTGTTCCGATTTTCGGCTATCTGCCGTGGTTAAATCCTACCAAACCTTACGAAACGTTCACGGCGCTGGCTTGTAAGTATGGGCCGATTTACAGCATTCAGATGGGGAAACATTTTGCAGTCGTTATGTCGGACCCGACAATGGTCAGAATGGCATTAGCACGGAACGAACTGGCAGATCGCACCAACTTCGAAGTTATCAACGAAATAATGCAAGAACATGGTACGTAGTGGGGACTAACTATACTAGGTATCTAAACTTCCTTTGAATAAGACTCAAATTGTATATACTTATTATGACTCTTAAGCAATATCCTAAAATGGGTATACATTTTAAATTTGAATAATCTTTATAGGTTTGATATTTGCACACGGACCTCTTTGGAAAGAACAACGAAAATTTGTTTGCAATTGGCTTAAGGTGATCGGCGTAACCAAGTTCGGTGATAAGAAAAATAACTTACAATTACTCATTGCCGACGCTGTGTCTACTACGATCTCGGTAACATCAGCTGCTTTACACCGAGTCAATTATAAATAATTTAAAAATATTATATGTTTCTAAATGTAAATAATATATTTTTTTAGAAATTACGGCAGTCGAATAATTCTCCGATTGACACGGGAACATTTTTTCTAGTACACATAGGAGATTTCATAAATCTCATAGTGTTGGGTAAAGCGTGGCCAGAAGATGACCCTAATTGGATTTATTTACGAAATTTGGCTGAAGACGGATCCAAGAAGTTTTCCATAGCTACTCCATTGAGTGTTTTGCCAATATTGAAGTTAGAAACGAATACAATTATTAGCATTATATCCGTATAATGTTTAAAAAAAATAAAAAAAAATAAATTTTATTGATGTAACTGTCTTAGGGTGATACCAAAATACAGCAATACTGTTTTTGAAGTAATCGAGGGAGTTAAAAATACGCATCTCATTTATAAAACATTGATGGAGAAACGAGGCAACGAAATCAATGGATGCGACGATCTGATGGCCATGTTTATGAAAGAAATGACGAAGAGAACAAATGACAAGGTTTCCCATTACTTTACCGAAAAACAATGTTGTTTTCTTCTGTCTGATCTTTTTGGCGCTGGTGTCGAAACCACCGTGAATACCCTGAGATGGTTTCTTCTTTATATGGCTTTACACCAAGAAATACAGGTAAAAATCATGTATTTTTTAAAAACATTACTTGATTATAGGGGAGTTATTATATACACGGAGCCATGTAACAGTCCTTTACGAATATTTTAGTTTTTATATACATGTGGTTTATACACATCGTAAAAAATGCAAAGAAACTAATAAAATACTGGTATAAAATCATCTGAATATTATTATAAAATGTTGCTTGTAGGTTAACTGCACTGGTAGGTACAATGTACATATTGTATATATTATAATGAATTATGGTATCAAATTTAAATTTAATTAAATTGTTTATATGCTTATAATATGATCGATTTTAATATTTAATATTATATATATATTTATATCATGAACACTTAATATAGGTATATAGACTTTGTAAGGGCAATAAAAAAAAATATGTAGATTATAATTTACAAATGTCTTGAAATTAATAAAATAGTAGGTAACATATATAATTATTATGATTTAAAATAAATTATGAGAATTAACTTATGTTTGTAACTTGTAAGTTACCTATAATTATTACGTGCAAGATAAACTGTATGTATAAGAATCTAAAAACATATAATAAATACACCAGCTAACAAAAAATCAGTGATAGCGTTATATTGATATAGTTTTAACTTTTAATAAAACAAAACATTTTTAGAACGACTTACAGACATTACTGGATTCTGTGTTTACCGATGGCGGCATAATAGATTTAGAGCATATAGAAAACATTCCATTGCTAAAAGCTTGTGTGGCCGAAACGATGCGATTACGGCCGGTAGCTCCATCTGGAATACCTCGGTCAGTCAACAGCGAAATTACGATTTCGGGATACCGCATACCAAAAGGGACCATGATTTTACCGCTGCAGTGGGCGATGCACCACGACGAAAAGTATTGGACGGACCCGCAGACATTTCAACCGAAAAGATTTTTGGACGACGAAGGAAATATGATAAACAACAAAGCTTTCATGCCATTTCAAGCCGGTTAGTTATTATAGAAAAGTGGATTTTTTTTAAATGATTGAACCAAGTAGTCAGTATGTAATGATGTTTTCAGGTAAAAGAGCTTGTGTTGGAGATACGCTTTCCTACTGGATACTCTATTTATTCGGTGCAAATATAATTCATAATTTCAATGTTTCTACGGAACCCGGTCTATCCGAAAAAGAAATCGACACCATCATGGACGGAGTGTTTGGCATAACACTCAGTCCGGCTACGCATAACATTGTTTTTAAATCTCGAGTTTAAGATGAATCGGCTTACTGCAATTTGTTTTTCGACTGATTAAAATTATCTTTAAATAAATATAAACGTACAACAATATTGTCTAATGAAATGATGTCTAATCTACTAGACATTTTGGATATAACCCATCTACATATGAGTTTGATGATCGCCAAATTTATATTTTCTAAGCCGCCGACTTGACGTGTATGTTTTATATATCTATTCTACAATAATTTTACACGGTGATTTCGCATGTATTTTCTTATGTAATATACGTTTTCGTCGAATCCGCCGACGTCACCAGTAACGTTCGTCCATACTCTATAACTAAAAATTACTAATTATTTAAAATGTGTATCGAAGAAATCATGACAATTATAATTACGCGCACGTGTAAGGCGTATCACCTGTTTGTGATAATATTACGATGGTACATCGAATCTCTCCAGACACAAACGAGTGGTGTGAACGGTTTTCACTAGTCTTTGTGTAAGCAAATCTGAAATTAACTAGTCGATAATTCGCAATATGCATAATGGCGGGAAAATTATTCCATTAATGTAGGAAGTGTAATTCCCAAGGAAATTGTAATACTATAATATTATAAGTAAGTAATATAACTAATAACGCAAACATGACCGGTCTGGTCAGTTATATAGGTTATATTGACAGTGTTTACTACACCTCATGGTGTCTACCGGCGAGTGTTTTTATCATTACCATAATAATTCATATTCATATAATAATAATAATTTTTTTTTCAAATATTTATGATGATAAATAACAGCGGCGTCCGGCGGTGTATTTAAATAAAAAACGGTTTTATAGACTTATACTACAAGACGTATAACTCGTAATTCTTACGAGTCGAGAGTTCTTTTTTTTTTTGAAAGCTTGAGAATATAGTACGAATTTGAATAGCGATACAACCGATATCGGCTTTTGATCAACACGTGAATACACAATAATAATAATACGTTTATGAACTTGGACCGGTCAACAAGTGGCACGAAAAAACAATGCAAAGCATAATATTTTAATGCAAGTTGTAACAACCAATGGTTTTTCCGTCCCAAGCATTAGAGTGTAGGATATATTATTATTGTTTACAGACGGTATACCTATTTAATATATAATATTATTCTGATTTAGAGGATGGCAACGAATAAGTAGTATTGTTTATACATCGTATATTTTTATTTGACGAAGAGTGTTATAAAATTTTTCTCCATCGCCCCGAAAACTACGGTATAAAATAATCGATGGTCAAATTTAAATAACAGGTTTTTTTCGCCCAATAACCCAAATGAGCATAAGAAAACAGACATTTTTCGTTCGTATTATATTCGGTAGGTAGGCCACTAGGGTTATGTAACGTGTCGTACATATAGAATTACGATTTACGAGTATTATCGTCCAACATAATAATATTTGGTTAATGTATTTTTTTGGAATTCTGTAAACGATCCAACATTTAGTCGCTGTGCGATATCGGTGGGTAGGTATTGCGAATTGCGATGAGTGCCATACCCCCGTACCGTGTAAACTAGTTTGATTTTGGTCTGCCGTTGATAATAATAGCTAGTGGTGTAAAAATATTGAAATTTTTTTGTTTTTCGTATTAGGTTGTACCAATCAACTGAGTACACCTAGAACGGTGCGAATTTAATTAAAGTATAATTCGTTTATGTATTAGGTGCACACGTTGCGTATACGGTATAATATATTAAATAATCCTTTGTTGTATAAACTAGCAATATTATATAAACATTGCTCATTAAAATGCAAATGCATCGTTAGCATACTACAATGATAAAATTAAAAGATACGGAGACATTTGAGACTAATAAATAATTAAATGAGTAGGTACTGGTGACTGGTGAGTATTGAGTATAGTAACTTCAAATTAACAATAACTCTAAAAAATGGTTCCATAATAATATAAATATTTTGTATAGATAGTGTATTGATATTAAGTATACCTTAATATAAAAAAGTATTTAATTTGTATTGACTATTTCTAACGATGTTTAATATGACACTATTAATTATTACCTATTATAGAGGTCGATTAAAATGCAAAATTGATATTACTTTAAAAAATAAAATAAAATAAAAATAATTAATATCCACGAAGAATGAATACTTGAACAGTGAATATGTCAACAGTTCACATGAACACTTAACTATTTTTTTAATTTTTTTTTTTTCGTTCGTCATAAAATCCATAATAATTTAATCGATGATATATATATAATATATATGATATATCATACAAGACAAATCAAATAATTTTATATACCAAGTGATTTACTATGCTCAGAACACCAGCTATACATACAATACGTGTCCAGATATAAATCGTATACTACTTAAATTGATCATATATTAAATATATTTGTATATTAATTAACTACGAAGGTAAAATGTCAACGAAAATTTAAAATTTAAAAACTAAGGGCTTCGAAGGTTCACAACCTGTAGAATAGTCGAATTTCGTTTATTTCTTTGATTTTTTTAAAATATCAAAGCTCAGTTTTTAAAATGATAATTTTTTAATCTAAAATATGCATTTGGACAGTGCACAATATATTTTGATATTTTTTTGAAACGTATTTTTCAAGCAGTATTTAAAGAAAAATGAAAATACATGCTTTGATCCGACCTGAAAAAAGTTCTCATCATTCAGACAGGATATGATATACCATATAACCCCCCCCCCCTAAATAGGTATCGGACAGCAGAATAGTGGTATAATGGAATACTTATTGTTGTGTTACATATTATTGTTTAAAATGTATAAGTTATATGTATTGTTAAAAGTCCATTTAGTTGTATTAACATTCAAACACACAGTAGTAGATAATGACGAATCAGTTAAAGAAAAACTAAAATGTTATGAGAACTCTCTGGTCTCCTACAGAAGGTGTTTGCTCTTGGAGACTAATTGATGTATCCAAGGTCTTATTGAAGTATATGTTTCGAAATGAAAAATGAAATTACTTACTTATACTCACGCTACGAGTCAATATTTCGATGGAGTTGATTCTTGAGCCTACACGTTAATACAGTGCGATGAAGTAATGCAGTAGAATAATAAAAAAATACAAATGACTTAGGGTTACAATACTTACTACAAGCGGATGTCGGTTTAAATAAGCTGATGTGATTTGATTGAGGTGATTATTTTTTCATCTGATGTACCACCAACAACGAGTTCTCCATTAAAGCGTCGAGCGATCACGCACTTTTTCGATTGGAAATATTGTCCATAAAGTACTTTTGAGAGGTCATAGATAATTTTATCGCTAATTTCCTCGAGCGTGGGAAAAATTTCCCGACAGAATATTGCAAACAAAACGCTGAAATATTATACAATACGTCAACGCGTTTTTAACGAAATCGAAGTCGGTTATTATTACATGTTGAATTCTCTCAGCTATATATCTATACGCAATTTGCAAATCGCAATTTGTTTAATATCATACTATAAGACCTAGAAATCGAATACAAGGTTAACTTTATGGTATAATAATGTATATTATTATTCCAACTATAGAACTTAAAAAGCACAATATACTAATCGTTCGTCAAGTGTAATATCGCTGGTGAATGCTGGCTAAATCGTCTAAAAAATAATTAATAACGATTTTATTTCCGACGCGTTATTCTCTGGATTTATTTTAATAATATTTTATGATTTGGAGCGTTTAAAATTAACATTTTTTAAACGATATCGTTTCCTTTAAACTCGTATATTATATATGTACCTATTTATTACTGTGTCAACTATTAACAATAGTTAATGTTTAATTAAAATGTTAAATCTTTAATCATTTACCTAAATATTGCAGTTCTTGTAAGTGACTTAAAATATTACAAAAACCAATTAGGTATGCAAATCAAAATCAGCTCAGAATCGCTTTTCGAACGCGACGGATTCATCATCGCTTTCGAGTTTGTAGTAATAGTAATAATAACGATAATAATTCACACCATGCAGTAATCTTCATGTTTTTTTATAACGCCAATATCCATAATTTTGTTTTTTAGTCTATACATAATATGTTTTTTACACGCCTGTCAGCACTTTGTTGACAAATAAACACAAAAATGACCACCATAGACGTAAGTACACTTATACACTACCAGAATAACTGCAAGTATTATAATATTATTGGCTCGGCCATGCAGATTTTCACTGGATTTACTACTTTCTCACGGATATTATCACACAGAATCCAAACGTGGATGATTTAAAACCACGTGGTATTATGCAGGAAACCTGAGGTGTAAAAAAAATTGGAAGTGTTGGACAGCTATTTGATTTAAAACGACTTAACGGTCTTAGTCAATTAAATTGTCATTCGTGTCGTATTAGTTGCGTAGATAGTTCCCCTGAAGTAAATTAATTTAACAAGTGATTGACAAAAACATTCAACATTTAATTTTAATAGGTTGCTTGTACATTGGTAATATATATAAAAAAAAACAACAATTATACCTTAATACTAAATAAAACACTACATCAAATAATTTTTATAAAAAATGGTATATGGCACTAAGTACATAAACATATAAATAGGAAAACATGCACTTGTAACTACTTTAAATAAACAAATAAAATCGTTATTTTTTAAAACAGTATAAATTAAACTAAACTAGCTAATCAATAAATAGTGTGGTTTTAAATAATTACACGTTAGAAAATGTATTTAATTTATAGGGAACCACGTAAAATTGGTAAATAAATAATAAAACATTTTTAAGCTAAACAATTATTATGGAATATAACTCCCAACAAACACATAATATTCCATTAAAAATACATAAACAACCTAAATGAGAGGATCTGAGAATAATAATGAAATGAAATCTACTTATTGCGTGCTTTCATGACGACCTTGAACGATTGTGGAGTCAGTGTGATGCCGACTTGACCGTCCATGCTAGGTAATTCGTCACCATCCGGCAGACATACATCGAATTCGTGTAACAAGGTTGAAAAGAACAAATATAGTTCCATTTGAGCTAACGTCTCACCCAGACATTTTCTCCGGCCTTTAACAAAAATAAATCAAACATGAAATTAATGACGATTTCATAGGTATAAAACATTATCACACGTGTGGGTAGTGCAAAATTAGTATAATAGGTAGGTATGTGACTACATTTCGACGTACAGTACGATACTATAATATTATTATATTATAAATGTAGAAAAAAAATAAATATCTTACCGACTCCAAAAGGTAGAAAACAATCGGGTTTTTTCACTTTGCCTTCGGCATTTATAAATCTCTCCGGCTTGAACGCCTCCGGTTCATCCCATAAGTTCGGGTCGTTGTGCACAAAGTGTTGTAAAGGTATGATCTGAGCGCCGGTCGGTATATGGTAACCATTGAGTGTTACATCACTGTTGAAACAATACAAAACTTGATGAAATGCTCGGACGTATGTAATATTTGACGGCTAACACATTACATGCGAAACGAGAATGAACAATTTACCTGGTGGTTGCGTGTGTTGTGCCCAAAGGCGTGATACTCGATTTCCGCAGTACTTCGTACAAGGTGGCCTGTGTGTAAGGTAAATTGGGGTAATCGTCGAGCACTGGCGATTTATATTGACCCACTACCGAATCGATCTCGTCTTGCACCTTGGTCATCACATCCGGATAATGGAGCATGTACACCATGGCCCATAAAATCGTGTTCTTAATGGTCTCCATGCCGGCCGAGAACAAGTCGCCGAGAATCTGCTGGACCTGCCTGTTCGGGTCCAAACCCTGAAACAGTTGGTCCACCGTGCCAGCTTCCTGGGAGCGTTTGATCTCCAGCAAATAAGCGTCGACCAGGTCCCGGATGGAATTCGGATCGAACGTGCTCTTGTGCTCTTCGATGATGTTTTGAAAGTATCCGGCGATTTCACGATGGTTGTTCTTGATTTTTTCCTGTATGTTTCGCTCGTCCGTGATGTGACGCCTCGGCAAAAACAAACTCACCGGCCTCAACATGCCGAACAGCTTGAAACCTTCGTCGACCATGTGCATGTACCGCTCGAAACGTGGATCGTTCGGTTCGAATCTAACGCTCATCGTCAACGAACTAATCACGTTGGTGATGGCGAGACACAACGAACCGGCATTTAGATCTATTGGTTTGCCGTTGGTCTTGTGAAATGTTTCCGTTAGCGTGGATACTTCGATCTGCGTAAAAAAAAAAAACACACACACATTTTTTTATTAATTTACATTCTTCAGTATATACACGCGCTCGAGATACTCGAAAATATTGATCGTCGTGTCCAATATCTGGAGTTATTTCGAGGTATATGGCAGCAAATTATTTATACGGACGTCACTTACCATTATCCGATTTTCCATGTTCAATCTGTTGTGGCCCGTGAACGTCATCCCCATGTGTCGAAGTACCAAATGCAAAAACTTCCTTTGCGACTCCCATAACTTCCCAGTACTGTTCACGGCTCCTATAAACATAAAAAGTAATGTTTCTAATAACAAGTCTGGTCAGTATGGAAATGACACACAGTAATTTTTTATCATTATTATTATTATTATTATTATTATTATTATTATTCTAGCCATTATTCGCGTGTCCCGCACACGTTGTGTAATGCAGTAGTAGTAGTAGTCGTAGTAGTCGTAGTAGTAGTAGCAGTAGTAGTAATAGTTGCAGTATAGTAGTGGCAGTAGCAACAGTGCGGGCCACGTGATTATTTAATAATTAATATTGTGCCGGCGTATAGTATGTCAAAAAAAATTGCGACATAGTTTCAAAATATTATATACAACGTGCATGATAATCTCGTCATCTCGAGGACACGCGCTTATATTTTTTATTTCGATAAAAACTTTACAAAAAAAAAAAAAATTTAATGACTTACGTCGGCGCGCAATGTACAATATAATATCATAGTATTATTATGCGTTTAAAATGTCTAATTTACGATGTAACGATGACGAGAGAAAAAAAAACCCCCATGGTCGAAATAAAATTGCTGACAACCTCTTAAATTTCTGTGCTGTTATATCGGTCGTATCGTCGCGATAATAATACCGGGAAAAAAAAAACCTTTACGCCCGTCGATTTCTCGCGCAATACAACGGTTATATAAATATCATCATAATATTATTATTATTATTATTATTAATTAATTAATTATTATATATTATTCGATGGTGCGCGGCGCGAGGACCACTTACCGTATCCGCCGATGATGTCCATGTACCCGTCGTTGGGCCGGCCGGTGATCTGCTTCATGTCGAACGCGGTCTTGATGAGCTTGTGGTCGCTGAGCAGTATGACGGTGTTGCCGCGCTGCGTGAACGAGCATATGGGCCCGTACCGGCGGGCCAGCTCGTTGTACTTGAGGTACGTGCAGTGGTTGGACAAGAACGGCGCGTACCCCAAGAACGGTACGCCCCACGGCCCGGGTGGCAGCGTCCTCGCGGCCCGGAGCTGCCGGTACGCCGAGTAGGTCAGACCCAGCGCCGCGGCCACCGCGTTCAGCCACAGTTCGCGGCTGTATCCGTCGCCGCCGTCAGACATGATCTCGGTCGTCATCTCGCGCCGTTTCCGCCGCCGCGCGGAGAGCCGACGATGTGCCCGGTGCGAACAGAACGGGCTGACGGGCGAAGATGTATAATATGTTTTGCGTGGGCGACGTTTGTGACGGACGGTAAAAATATAAAAAATTTGTCTCGGACGGATATTATATATGTATATAATATATAACAATATTATTATATTATTATGTTACGAAACGACGTTTTTTATTTATTTATTTTTTAACGTACGAAAAACACACCCGACTGCAGTGGTAACGGCGAGCGCGCGAGAGTGCAGCAGTAGGTACGCAAAACAGATATTATATATAATATAATAAAATAAAATATATTATTATTATTAATAATAATAATGCTGATGGTGATGATGGATAATAATATAATAATATATATGTGATATAGCAGCGCGTAAGTACTCTGCAGCCAGTGTTTACGCAAGAGACGCGTGCGTCGGAATCGAAGAGTTGGGATCACTTTTGAAAATAATCGTGGGAGAGTACTTCTTTTGGTCTTTTATAATATATCGGGGTGTCGAAAGCCCATATAGTAGGGATAGGCGTGTACGTGCGTGTGTGCGTGCGTGCGTGTGCGCGAGGTAGGTACCTCGTATAATACATATTATATTATATACGCGGGTACAACAGGTGTAGGTATATAGGTATATAGGAATAGGTATACGCGATATATACGTATATACTACACGTGTGCGCGCATGTGTGTGAGTGTGTGTTTTCTTTCTTTTTAAACATTTTGTTGTTGTTTTTTCTCTCTCAGACCAGTGCGCTGTCGGTCCGACAATATTATATGTATATTATTGAAGGGGGATACCCGCGACGCGCGATCCGGGGCGGCGGCGGAGGAGGAGCGCGAGAACATTCGAGATTTCCTTCCCTTTTTTTTTCTATTTCGTGTATCTCACTTTTTTCTCTCCATCGCGCGCCGCAACTGGTATACACGTACCTACCTATACGTTTTTTTTCACTTCGTCTCACTCTCTCCCACACTCACACCCGACTCGGTCCCTACTCCCAGCGGTGACGACGGCCCAAACGGCGAGTTTCGTCGGGCCCCAGCGGTTGTCGCGCGGACAGACGCGGCCAAGCATTGGGCCGGCGCACACCGCGACCACCGATCATTATTTCATACACGTTTATACATATACACGCACACTTGTAGATCCTCCCAACGGCGAGCCGCGCCGCGCCCACAACACATGTATTTCGAACGAACGTTATTTTGATTTTTGATTTTCTTCGATATTTCACGCTGCACATGTAAATATAACGTAATAAAATAATAAAATAATGTATAATAATAGTATTTGTATGTGTTTGTTGTGTGTGTGTGTACATACGCGAGTGTGCGTGTTTTCTATCTAATTTCGATTTTTCGACGTATTCTCGAGAGCTCTGAAAATAATGTTTTAGTCGTTCAAATAGTTTATTAGAAAACCAAACATAGGGATATATAATAATAATAAATAACCAGAACATAAGACACCAGAAACGGCAAGTTGAAATTGGGGACTTTCGCTTTAGACATTTTTATATGTACCAATATTAACGGTCATTTTCACAAAACGGGTCTATTATATTGTTTTGTTTGTGTTTTTAAATATGGGAAAATAAACATTTCTAACCGTAGAACTTTCGTATAATATTATGTATAGGTAATAAATAATAAACCTACACATCTCTATGCCTGGTTTGTTGTGTTCAATGTATTTACCATAAGTACTTTTTAGTATTTGTTGAGTATAATGTTTATGATATTTATTCGATTGAATATAAAAAACAAATGATTATTTCTTGTAAAGTAAATAAATATTGCATAAAGATTATGACGTAAAGAAAGAAATAAATACTGTTGATCATTAGGATTGGATTATAAACTATTCTCTAAAAGATATATTAATATATTGTAATACTAACTATGATCGATAGTGCACTTTGAATATTATAGATATATATCAGTAAAAATATAAATATATTATAATTAAAAATAAAAATAAATATAATAACATTTTTTTCAGTTTATTATGTTTTTAGGAAGCGGATTTAGAAAAACAAATTTGTTTATAGGTAGTACCTATCGAGTTTCAATTTAATTTTTTTGTAAATATTAATATATATATTAATAACTAATGACTAACGTAATAATGGACAAGCTCTAATATTATTGTGATCTCTAGTACCGTGATTAATCTACCAGAGGAACTATGTAATACTTAAACAGTTCTAAATTACTTTGAGTATATAATTATTTCATTTATTTACATTGTATACAACCAGAAAATGGACTATATTACTATAGTGTTAGCTGATAAGATAATAGAGTATTTACACACAAATAATAAATATATACTTAATATTTAATAATATTAAAACACACAGAAATGGCGCAGACATAATAATTGAGAATATATTTACTTACATAGATTGATACTAATAGAATAGGTATACGATTTTATCAGTGGCAAATAATGGGTGCAAACGTACAATGATCTTTAAATAATATTTTTTTTACTACTGATTCTTAATGGGAGTGATGAACCGTTAAACATGTTTTGAACTTTGGAACATATTTTTATGACAATTCATGGGTTCTGTAGACAATGGATAGAAATCTAACTAAGATTCTACAATTGTCTAATAAAAATGATAAGTAGGTATTCACTTTTCAGGAAAATAGGTTTACTTTTATAACTTTTAATTAAAAAAAAATTAAGCCATGAATTGATCAAGATTCGAAAATCTCAAATTAGTTACTCAATAATTTGTTATGTTAACGTTTTAAAATTTTAAATCACGGTAGCTAGTATCGAATATTAAATGTTGAAAAGAATTATGACTTAATTTGGATTTATTTAGTATGATTTATATTTGCTCCAAGTATAAAATAATTTAAATTTTACCTAATTATTTACTATATTATAAATGTTTAACCAAAAAGCTTAGTTGTCATAATGATTTTTATGAAAAATCATATTTTTGTAAAAAAAAACATCCTATACAATACATTTTTTTTTTGTCTAGCACCGCTGAAAATTGTTTTTCGAATGCTATGAATTATGATGGTATAACATCCTGAAATTAAGTGGTAAATATACAAGTTTACAATACCTGACTCTCGCATATGTCGTATCCTGTTTTATTCGTATTTTTATAGAAGGTAATTCATGATATTTTGACACTACGTTCTGACAGCGTTTAATTATTTTTGTATGTGTCTATAACATTATATTCTGCAACTTTCTGGTAGATTAACACGTGCATTTTGCTAACCCCCAAAATACATGTTATTCTATTATTTAATTTTCATTAGTATGAATTTGTGTGACATTTTTAAAATTTATGTGCCAGTATCATTTTACTTGTATAATTATTTTTTTATGTTTTTTACAATCTCAAGGGAGGATATGAATTGTTGATTATTCACAGACTGCGTAATATAGCGGTAGAATAACTTTCATCGCTTTATCATAATAAATTTTAGATAACATAAATATGGGGGGGGGGTATTACACCCTAGTCCCCCCGTGAGCATGTCTCTGACAACCTCAATCAGGATTTTTCCAATCGTGTTTTCTTTACATGATTTGAAAACTTGTATGTGTGTTCAGAGAAATAAATAAATGCATAAACTTGATATCTTGATATTATCAAGACTTAAGACATCCAACATTAAAAAAAATGTTAAGTGATATTTAGTAACTATAAAATGTTTTTGTTTCATTATATATACAGTTCACAACATACAAATAAAGAAATAATAGGAAATATTATTATAATAGTAGTACATTACTATTTCTTACTCATTAAATTTGTAAAAGTATAGTATTATGATATTTATACATGATAATTTATAGTAATAAAATAATACTAGGTAAGTACCTATTATAAAAAAATAATTATAAAATAACTAATTTACAATTTTTAACCCAGTCCTTTAATAATTATTAAATCTTAATTTATTCTCCATTAAGTCGTTAACTACCCATTTAAAAAAAAATTATTTGTCATATTTTTATCCTACATATTTAATATAAAGTTGTATTCTTATATTTTGGGACTTAATTTAGTCTTAATATGTACTATAACTAGGAAGCGGATTCAGGTTTCTACATGTATTTTTTGGCTTTACAGCTTTTGCAGCTAAACAGCGGTAAATGATCCGTACAACTTATTCAATACAGAAATCGTAGGAAAACATGTATTTTGCATATTACAGCATATTCTAAATATTAAATAATAATCAGCCTATATTTAAGAATATATTGTATTATTTGCTCACAAAAAAGTCATATTTGTTCATTTCTCGAGCAGAAATATTTCTTCGCACAAAAAAAAGGTTTTGTTTTCAACTTGAAAGAGAAAAATGATACACGAAAGAAATTGTTTTATAATTTGTTTGTAATTGGAAAGACAATTTTTTTTATTTGTTTGATTGTTCTAAGTGTAACAGAATTTAAATAATTTATCAAAGAAATGGTATGCAATAATTATTTTCAAGTTTAAGTATATTATTACACGGTGTGCAATAAATGGATGATAAATATAAATATTTTAAACTTTTAAAGTTTCATATTGACTTATACATTTATACTATATACTTTACATAATATATTTCTATTGTAACTAGTGTACACATTTTCAAACTATTTGATGTAAAAAAGCATATTTTCAGCATATTTTACCAGTTTGAGGATTATTCAGAGAAAAATTTAAAGTTTTTTTTAGAAAATATTAGAATTATATTTTAAAATTTTAAGAGCTTAATAATCTGCTCTTTAAGTCTATAACTAATAGCCAGTAGGCAGCCATAATATATCTCTTGACACTCATAAGTCATAACACAACATAAAATATAGTACATGGAAAGAGTTGGTGACAATTTGGTGCTAATATCGATATTGTGTACTTAATGTATAAATATTAGTAATATAATAGCTATTAAATGACAAGTGTCTGTCACAGAGTTTTATAATACACTAGTAAATAACTATACATTTGGTAGCATCAACGCAGTGTGTATCCTGTTTTGATTGTCGTGTTATGACAAATGAGTTATTATTTTATTTTATTTTTATACGAGTTCATAATTAGGTCCCAAACATAATAATATTATGGAGTTGAATCTCGATAACTCGAAAACCTCGATAACTTGAAAAATACACAAGTTGAATGTATTATTATTCCCCTTGAGATTCAAGTTTTTGAAACTCGACTGTGGATAATATAATATTATTAGACTTAATAATTATTTCATGACTAAGTTTTAACTTGTAAATTAGTTACCTATTAATTTATTATACTAGGTAGGTAATATCATTTATAACTAAATAATGCAATAAAAATCATAACAACATTTTTTTTTAAACATTACAAGTATGTCTGACAGTCTGAGTCACTGATAAATCGCAAATAGTTATTGGGCACACATACAAATTCACAGATTAAGTTAAGGAAACACGAGCGAAAAATTCTGATTGGGTTCAGAGGAAAAAGTGAAATAAAATTAAAAAATAATTTTTGAATGGTAAAACAGGTGGGCAGTGGCCAGTGGTTAAAGCATACAAAAATTCATACCAAAAGTTTACGTATTATTTTTATCAAAAAGAAATTTTTAAATTATATGGTGGTGGGTTAGTGTAAGAGAGAGGGTGTTGGAAAGAAAATGTGAGAAGTATTTTTAAATAAATGTATCTGCTGGTAGAACGTGTGGTACAAAAATATCTGTCTTAATTACATAATTATACAAATTCACACTAATAATGTATACTCAAAAGAAAAATTTAAAAATATGGTTTTTCGGTGTTGGGGTGAATCATTTCAATATCGTAACCACGATATTTTTTCAAATTTTAACTGAAAAAATGCATAGTAGAAATAATATTACATTTGTATTTGGCACAGAATAATATAGATAATATCACTAATTTGTAAGCCAAACAAATGTTTTTTGTTAGATAGTCATTCTCAGTATTAAATTTTAAATTGTTTGAATATCTTGTTATGTAATACATAATGGATTATTACTCTATAATTACTACCAATACATGAAAATTCTTAAAAATCACGTTACTAGCTACCTCATTTTATAATATTCAATATTTGAACAATTATCGTACATACCTCAAGAGAGTAACGCTAAAATCATGAGCATAGAATTGTGCTGGGGCTAAGTATTGCTGCCCCCCCCCCCAAATAATTCTTTTAAGCCCTCTAGGAATTTCGCAAGCAGTTCCGGCAGCTTCGTTGATACCACAAAGAAAAAAAAAGGCTAAGCCCCCTGGCCCCTATATAAATTCATCAAGCGACGCTTATGATGCTGTAGGTGGTGATTATAAACAAGGTTTTTTTTTACTGTAAGACAGGTTGGGATAATGTATTATACATCATCAATGTTT